ATGGACATCTAGACTTCCCATGTGGTCTCTGCTGACATCAGGGATTCTTACAGCCTTTAACAGGTAGAAGGTGGGACTCTTTTCTCAACCTTCAGCCTTTGTTGGGGTAAGGGGGGAGGGTGCAGCCACTAGTTTTTCATGGTGTTTTATTGGATTAGATGGTTACTATCTAAAGGTTTCTGCCTTTAAGCTCTGTTTCCTGGTCCTTTGGCTAGAGAGAACTGGCTTTTATTTAGGGCATTTTTTGTCTATGTCCACTGGTGTCACTGGGTTGGTAGCTTCTCCAGTACTCAGTCTGGGGTATATAAAGTATAAAGTGGGCCTCCCCGGTGGCTTAGTGGGTTGAGCGCAGCGCTGTGAAGCTGTCCACAAACTCTGCAGCGTGGGTTCGATTCCTGGCCGACCAGGGAGATTCCCACATAGCATGGCAGACCTCTCCTGTTGCGCCTGCTGCTCCCCTCAGCAGTGTATTTCGGTCATCTGCCTATTCTGCTTCCCGCTCTGTCTCTGGTGAAGCCTCTGGCCTGTGCCCCAGATCTTGTGTAAAATAAATAAATCTTTAAAAAAAAAACAAAAACAACTAATTTTAAAAAAAAGTATAAAGGTCAAGAATATACTGTGGTGTCTTTCCTTAGTCTTGAGATCTTTACTGTTAATGTTTTCTTATGTTTGGTTTATACCTGTCTAGGATTTTTAACTAGACTGTAATTGAAACATTACTGTATGAACTCTTCATTACTATGCTCTTTGTATTTACTAATTTTTTTTTGTCATATCTAATCCCCTGTTATCCCACTCTTTTTCATGTAAGAGCTTGTGTTTTTCATCCATAGACTCAGTTTTTAATGTCCTCTATGTCTGTCAAACATGAGAGACATAATGAAAACAACTCTTTTAATGTCATTCTCTTCTATCATTCGTATAGTTTCTGGTTCTGTTACTACTGATTTGTTTGGGCATATTTTCTTGAGTCTTTGCATTCCTATTTTTTATTGGGTGCTAGACAATTCCAAGGTTGCTGGGTGTTTTTGTATTATGAATATGCTTGAGAACTCAGTTACTTGGAAACAGCTTGATTCTTTTATGGTTTGCCTTTAAGCTTTGTTAGGTAAATTAAGAGTAGCTGTTAGTCTGGGGCTACACTTTCCCACTACTGAGGCAACATCCATGTTCCAGGTTTACTACTGTAGTTAGTGACACCTCATGTTAGCTATTTGTGGGCTTCAGTAATTGTTCCCTATGTTTTTTTCTTTTTAAAATATTTATTTTTGTTGCAGTAACATTGGTTTATAACAGTATATAGGTTTCAGGTATGCAGATTTTTATGTCAACATCTGTGTGTGGTACATTGAGTTCATCACCAAAAGTACAGTTTCCATCCACCACCACACAGTTGACACCTTTTACCCAGTTTACTCATCTTCCTTTCCCCTTCCCTTCTGGTAACCAGTATTTTGTTCTTGTATTCTAAGAGTATTTTTTGTTTTGCTTCTTTATCAACAACATATAAGTGAAGTCATGTATTTGTCTTCCTCTAACTTATTTCACTTAGCATAATACCTTCTAAGTCCATCCATGTTGCAAATGACCGGATTCATCATATATATATGTGTGTGTGTGTGTGTGTGTATATATATATATATATATGTATATATTTACACACAGACACATTAAGTACATATACATCATCTTTATCTACTCATCCATCATTGAGCACTTAGGTTGTTTCCAACCCTTGGCTATTGTGAATAATGTGGCGATGAACATGGGATGGGGGTGCATACATCTCAAATTAGGATTTTTTTATTCTTCAGATAAATGTAATGTAATAGCTGGATTACATCATTCAGGAAGAGCATTTTCTATTGTTAATTTTTTGAGGACTCTCCATATTGTTTTCCATATTAACTTACCAATTTACATTTCCTTTTCCCTGCATCCTCACCAACACTTGTTGTTTCTTGCCTTTTTTATAATAGACATCACAGGTGTCAAGTGATATCTCGTGGCTTTGATTTGTATTTCCCCAAAAAATAAAAGACATGGAACACTTTTTCATGTGCCTACTGGCCATCTATATTTCCTCTTTGGAGAAGTATATTTTGCTTTGTTAAAATGACCATTTTAACAGTGTTGATTCTAGTCCATGATCACAGGATATCGTTTCCTTTTATTGATTTATTTTTTTTCTTCAATTTCTTTCAGTACTGTTTTCACATTTTTCAGTGTATAGGTCTTTTACCTCCTTGATTAAATTTAGTCCTAAAATATTTTATTCTTTTTTGTTGCAGTTATAAATAGGGTTGTTTCTTTAATGTCTCTTTATACTGGTTTATTATATACGGAAAATAGTTGATTTTTGCATATTGATTTTGTAGTCTATAACTTTACTGGTATTTGTTTATTATTTCTAATAGATTTTTTATGGGGTCCTTAGGGTTTTTGTGCATAAAATCCTATCATATGCAAATAGTGACAATTTTGCTTCTTCCTTTCCTATTTGGATGCCCTCTCCCCTATTTTTAATGTCTGATTGCTACTATTGCTACTGATTTTCTGCATTTGTTTTGATTCTTTGTGGGGGGGGGTAAAGCCACTCCATTTACTCCATCTTGACTATATGTAGAAGTTTTTTTTATTAAATAAACATTAGAGAAATATTTTCTATTCAACAAGTTTTGACTAAATAAGCTTGTAATTTCTAAAAAAAAGTTTTGTTTTGTTTTTTTTTTTTTTTTTTAATAGAGGCATGCTTTATTTATTTGTTTGCTGGTTTGTTTGTTTGTTTTGTTTATACATGCACTGGGTACAGTCAGAAGCACGGGAGGGTGAGAGAATTCACCAGAGCCAGAGCGGGGAGCAGAGCAGGCAGAAGGACCGAAGTACACTGCTGAGGGGAGCAGCGGGCGGCAGGAGAGGTCTGCGCGCCATGTGGGACCCTCCTCCGGTGGCCGGGGAGCAGCCGGGGATCGAACCGGCACCGCAGAGGCCGCGGGCAGCTTCGCAACCCAGCGCTCAACCGCTGCGCCACCGGGGAGGCCCCTAAAAAAAAGTTTTAATATAAAATGCTTTACATATCATATGTAAACATAATATGACACAATTTCGTATAGTAAGATTATTTTCCATGTTTATTTTATGCTCATCTGTGGCTCACATGTGAAATTGCTTGGCACATGGATTCCAAGAATAGTGGTATTCTAGGCAATTAGGAAGGTAAACTTTCATAAATGTGCAGCAAATAAATAACAATTCTATCAGAAAGTCCAATTTTTAAAGTGCCTTAACATTTGAAAATTAATAACTAAAGATTTTTATAGATGCAGACTTTTGGCTTATGGGAATCTTGTTTTGGTTTGGGGGTATTCACATGAACTTTCGTTATACTGAACTGAGTTGTCTAAATTTTTCGAGTTTCATAAAATTATAGTAAATTTCAGTAGTTAAGACTTCTTATAATTAGTGTTTGTATGAGGTTAATTTGGTATTGCATGGAGAGTAATACAGTATATCTTCAGGCACAGTAGGAAAGTATAATGATGCTGGATTTAAAAAAAAAAAAACTAAGAAAGTACAAGTTGAGTCTGGACCTACTTCTCACAAATTGTATTGCCTATTTAGCCTTTTTTGTCACTATCTCAGATAACCTTTTTGAGCTTAAAAGACAATTATAAGAGGGCCTCGCCAGTGGCGCAGTGGTTGAGCGCTGGGTTGCGAAGCTGCCCGCAGCTTCTGCAGCACCAGTTCGATCCCCTGCTACTCCCTGGCCACCGGAGGAGGGTCCCACATTGCGCTCAGACCTCTCCTGCTGCCCGCTGCTCCCCTCAGCAGTGTACTTCTGTCCTTCTGCCTGCTCTGCTCCCTGCTCTGGCTGTGGTGAATTCGCTCACCTTCCCATGCTTCTGACTGTACCCAGTGCTTGTATAAATAAAATAAATAAATATTTTTTTAAAAGAAAGACAATTATGAGAATTAGATGCATTTTTATGAAAAAAATTAGTAAACTGCAAATGCTTATAAGTTAGCTGTCATTTTGAGAGTTAATCCGAGAAATACAAGTATCAAACAGTATATATAGTGGGAAAATTTGACTGTATCTAAGCCTAACATTAATAACTGGAAATTTTTTTCTTGTCCTGTACTTACTTTAGTTACTTTCAGAAATTTTTTAAATTTGATTTTTAATACCCAGCTTAATAGAAATGAGTCATACTGTCATATCTTTACTCAGCAACACACACTTGTGCTCACATATATGATCTGTGGTTTGTGGAGACAAATAAGGATATTGTTCAGTAGCCTACATCTTTAACAAAGAATATTTCCAGCAAAATACAAATTAGAAAATGCAGATCCTTACATATTAATCTAAATTTGTGAACTCAGTAATATTTAGTGAAAAAATTTGAGAAGATCATTAAGTCAAATTCTGTGTTCTCTGTAAATTCCAATGACTCTACTCCATGGAGTTAATTAGCACTTTGGTTTTTTATGGTTTCAAACATAATCTGTAGAATGATGGAGTTATTACTGAGAATCAGAATAAAAGATTACAGAATTATTCTCTATGAATCAGATTTTAAGTAGAAACCACAGTTGTTTCCTTGTTTCTCATTCATGCTTTAGCAGAGGATATGATGCCATAGATCTGAGTTGGTTTGTAGTTTCTCCTTTAAGGTTCACACCATTTTCTTTTACTTTTTAAAAGCCACAGCAGTTTTGATGTAAAATCAAACCACAAAATGTACCTTGTTGACTATGTAGTGGGAGTGTTGTGTTAAATATCATTTAGTAGTCTCAGTACTGATTGTGGCAATCCACTTTCGTCATAGTTTGAAAATATAGCATATTAGCAAACAAGTAAACACATAAATATATTGGGGTCAGTATAATTGCAGGCATATGGGAAACAATTAAATTTTTTAAATATATTAATTTGTGTTTAAAAATAGTGCTTATTTTTAACTTGAGTATGTTAATTTTCTTTTATTCTTCCTTAGCATCAAGGCATGCCATGGATTGCCTCTCATAAATGGGCAAAGCTGTGATCCTTATGCAACAGTTTCTCTAGTGGGCCCTTCTAGGTAATGTTTATTAATTATTGTTAGATTTTTAAGTTTTAAAGTTTTATTTAAGAGTTACAAAATTAAGGTTCTAAGAAGAAATATGAAATAGCTCTTTATAATACATAGTAATAAATGATTTGAAAGCAAAATCTTTATTCAGTTCATATACTTACAAACAACCAAGTTCTATTTTTACAGAAAGAAAATGGGTGCTATTTTAAATCTGCACTCTTAGATTGTGGTGAACAACCTGTTTTATAGTATTAAGATGTACTTTAAAACATGAACTTGGCCTTCTTCACTTACCATCAGCCTTCCTACTTTTCAAATGTCTTAGATTTTATAAAGGTAAAATCCTGTGTTCATAAATGCTAGCTCAGAATAACAAGTCAGTTCCCATATTTATATTTGGAAAGCAGTGGACCACTGAAAATGCCTTTTCACCTCATGGGATCTGTGCTCAACAGAAGAGAATTCCAAGCTTTAGCCAAACTGTTGAAATACCACACATGGTAAATGTGCCATATCATTGATTTAAATTATTTATATAAAAACCTATAACACTTTGTAATATTTTGTATTTTACAACTTCCTTATGGTCTCTTTTAGAGCCTGACTAATCTGAAATTAGTCTACAACTTAAAGATTTAAAATCAGGAAACAAAAAGCACAAGATTCTTTCTAATTAGACACACACAAATGCGTACCCTTTCTCACTAATCCCATACTCTCTAGTTATTCTTACTTTTTTACAAAGTAATTCAATAAGTACGTTGAAAAATACATTTGTTTATATGTATATAAAGTACTTAGAACCATGACTGGTACTCATAGGGTACTCAAACAATAGTGTATTATTATTATTATTACAGATGGTTTTAAATTTAAAAGCAGATATTCAGTCCTTTAACTTTTACACTGTCAGAGGGATTTAGTTTTGCATGTTAAAAATGTTTAGCCTAGTAGAGCTGTTTTGTTTTTGTTTATAATCAATACCTGACACACAGATTCTTTAGTGAAATTGTTTTGTATATACAGATAGAAACTATTTGGAATATGAATTCTTGTTTTAAAAAGTCATTATTGGGCCTCCCTGGTTCCTTAGTGGTTAAAGTCTCAGCACTATCAAACTATAGTCAGCCACTGGGGCATGATTCCATCCCCAACCTGGGAGATAACCCACATGGCGCAGTAGACCTCTCCTGTCTGCCCTGCTGCTCCCCTCAGCAGTGTATTTCAGTAGATCCACCTATTCTGCTCCCCACTCTGTCTCTGGTGAATTCTCTCACCACCACCACCTGCCACCCCTGGCACCTCTGGCCTACACCCCAGTTCTTGTATGCATAAATAAATAAAATGAATCTTTAAAAAAAATAAAAAGTCACTATTGTTTTTTATATATTATAATATAGTTGTATAAGAGGTTAACATTGGGGAAGTCTGAGGAAAGGCTGCATGGAGCTTCCCTGTACATTTCCTTGCAGCCTCCTGAATCTAATTATTTCACAATAAAAAGTTTTCTAAAAAGTCACTATTGTTTTGCAGTCCAAGTTAAGGATGCTTTTTGTATTCTTTGGGTACTTTTCAACATAAATAAAAGTACTCTAAATCTCATTGTTTTCCTTCTGCCATTTATTCTGAGTTGCTGATATAATAGAATATATTATTTGAAGGAAAAAAAAAAAACCTGAAGAAAGCTTGACAGTCAATCTATTATAGCCATAGAGAGAATAATACAATCTTGGCATACATAGAATATACAGAATTTGTGTATGCTTTGAATTTTAGAAATAACTTAATTTTTTTCCTCAAGTGATATTTAACACTACAGTCTTCCCTGAGTCGTCTTAACAGTTAACAGAGGTCAGTCTCCCTGGTTGGAAATAGCATGTTTTATAATTGTGTACTATTAAGTTCTACAAGGTAAAACTCTACCACATTGGAACAGGAATGACCAAAAGAAGACAAAAGTAAAGAAGAAAACAAGCAACCCGCAGTTTAATGAAACCTTTTATTTTGAGGTAACTTTTTTTTGTTTTATATAAATATTAACATGGAGTCGTTAATACTGAGTGCTGGTTGAATTATTTCTTGAAATTATGGCCATAATGATCATTTTTTGAAATTATTTAACTGTTTTTCTCCTGAAAGTAGAATCATGGTGTAATGCAGTGGAGGCCCAGTAAATAAAACAAATAAAGGCAGATTTGTGATTAATTTGGAGGTGAGGAAGTCTAGGGCCACACCATTCCCCAGTCATCCTCAGTATCACATCCTCCTCCCTTACACATGACCACTGGTGTAATAAATATGCTAGCCCTTGGTAGATCTGAGTTCTAGTTCCAGTTAACTTTGAATAAATCTCTAAATGGGAAACTCAAGTTTCTTATCTTATGAAGGATGACTTTTTTTTTTTTAAGAGAGAATAGAGGCAGCCCTGTCTAATTGGTAAAGTTGTATGAGGCCCAAAAGTGAGCTTTGAAACTAAATAACTATTTTATAAGGCCTTAATATAAAAGTTACTTTTTAGCCCAATTTTCTCTACTCTGAACATATGCATTTTTTTTTCATAGAGACTTTCGGCTGCCTTGACTTTGCCACAGATACAGTGCTTTGGATTTCTTTACTGTGGAGCGTTTGTTAAAGAAATTCTTTTTTTCACATTACTTGAAAGCAACAGGGAAAAAATGAACTTTATTCTGAAAGAGGGTAGAAACTCTATTCTAACCATACAGCATGTTACAGTTGTGAATAACATGAAGGGAAGATTTGAAAAAAGGGAGTTAGAGTCTGCTTTTTCTTCTTTATGGGTGTTTTTCTTGATATTTAAAAGTGAACAGTGAGGGTCACATATCACCATGCCTGGTTATTACTTTAATAAAGTAATAGAGGTTAAAAATATGTCTCAAAATTGAAATGGTTTTCTTAATTTCTTCTTCAGATTGATTGTTTGCATATAGGAAGTCTATAATTTTGATTAGGGTTTCTGTGAAGTTTTTAGGATTCTCTGTGTATATTATTATATCATCTGCAAATAGTGATAGTTTTACATCTTTCCTTATTTTGATTCCTTCTATGTCTTTCTCTTGTCTTACTGCTCTGGCTAGGACTTCCAGTATTATATTGCAAAGCAATGGTAAGAGTGGACATCCTTGCTTTCCAGATCTTAAGAGAAAGAATTTCAGCTTTTCACCGTTGAGGATAATATTGGTTGTGGGTTTGTCGTATATGGCTTTGATTATGTTAAGATATGTTCCTTCTGTCCCAAGATTTTCAAGGGCCTTCATCATAAATGGATATTGAACTTTGTTGGATGCTTTCTCAGCATCTATTGATATGATCATATGGCTTCTTTTATTTATTTTTCTTTTTGTTAATGTGTTGGATAACATTAATTGATTTTTGAATGGCCATCCTTGTGTTCCTGGAATAAATCCCACTTGGTCATGGTGTATTATCTTTTTGAGGCATTGTGGGATTCTGTTGGCTAAGATTTTGTTGAGGATTTTTGCATCAGTGTTCATTAGAGAGATTGACCTGTAGTTTTCTTTTTGTGTGTTGTCCTTGTTTGGTTTTGGTATTAGTATAATGTTAGCTTCATAAAATGTATTTGGTAGTATTCCTTCCTTCTCAATTTTTTGAAAGAGTTTGTGTAAGATAGGGATTAGTTCATTTCTCAACATTTGGTAGAATTCATTTGTGAAACCATCTGGTGCCTGGACTTTTGTTTTTCGTGTGAGTTTTGATTACTCTTTCAATTTCACTGCTTGTAATTGGTCTGTTTAGGTGTTCTATTTCTTCTTTATCTAACTTTGGATGAAATGGGAAGAATTGTGGGGATGGAGGCAAAGGAGAAAGAAAAACAAAAGAAATATACCAGTGTGAGACTTTTCTATTTCCTGGCTAAGAACTTAGTTCGTTTATTCTACATTATTAATGGCTGTTACATTTAACTTGGAGAAAATGAAGAAAAGGCACCTTGTGGCAAACAGGTTACTCATTTGAAAGTCACCTGCTTGCTTTATCCAAGTGTACCTATTAGACTTTGAAACATCCAGAAAACACTGTGTTAACCTTATAACAATAAGGTTCAGTCCTTATCCTTTAACTAGAATAGATTCAAAAACATACACAGATGCATGCATGAAGCAGCAAAACACAGACATTAGCAAGATTAACTGCATTCTGCACTACCTGAGTTAAGTTAGAGAAAGGAGAATATTAGAGAATGAACATTTTGATAAGAGACTTGATGACATGTCTAAAAGCAAAAAGTTATGTGCAAAGAATAGCAAGTAGAAATTTCATTAGAAGGTTTACACAAAGAGATAATAGAACTAAGGCTATAAAACAGAGTTAAGACCAACTAATGATAGACCTTGAGTGCCTGACTGAGTTGCTTAAATGTTTTGGGAGGAATTAACAATCATCTGTGGGCCAGATGGCTTAGAGAGAGAACAGAGATCAAGAAACTATGGTAGTTTAGGTATGTAAAAAAAAAAAAGTTGGTTGGATCTGATTCAAGGGAGCTTTATAGAGATAAAAAGGGATAGATAAGAAAGAAACTGCAAAGGACAAGATAGCGAATTGGTTATAGAAAAAAAGAGGCGTCAGATGTTCAAATCTTGAAAAATAGAAAAGTTAAGAAGAGGAAAAAGATAAGTACTTCATTTTGGGACATAACAAGCTTGAATTCTGAGTTGTAAAATCCTCTAATAGGCAGTTTATGACAGAAACTTAAAATAGTAATGGTTGTAGATATGTACTCAGTATTTGCTTACAGGAAGACAAGAAAACCAAGGGAGTAAAGGTATATGATAAAGGAAGAAAGTAAAAAGAAGCTCAGTTCTACCACTTACTATGCGTTCAGCTTTGATCATCTCACTCATTTTCTGTACTTCAGTTTCCTCATTTTTGAGATGAGGATAATAAATCTAGCCCTGCCTGCTTCCGAACAGTGTTCTGATGAACAAAGGAGATAATGGATGTGAAAGCAATTTGTAAACTTCATAGCACTGTGCAGCAAAATCTAAAGGAAAATATAAAAACCCTAGAGAAAATCCGTATTTGCTAGTTCTGAGAAACAAGATGTGCCAGAGGAAGAAGCAAAGAGAAAAAACTTAAAGAGAAGAATGTTTCTGGGGAAGGGAAGTATAGTTATATGATCACTGGTTCAGATAGATTAGGAAGGTGAGAACTAAGAATTCATCAGACTTGATTATTGAGAGAGGGTTTTTAGGATTATGATCTATTTCTGAGAAAGCCAGATTCTAATTTGAGTGCATGGTGAGGAGCTGGAGGCTAATCTGTCTGTGAAAGGAAAAATATAGGAAGACCAGAATTTAAAAGAATTTTTCTTAGACTTGCGTGAAGTGAACAAGCTGGTAAAGAAAGCCATAATTAAAATAGGTCGTACGCTTACTACATGTTGATGGTGTACTATATGTGGGTGAAGTCAACTTGTAAAAGAGAATAAGAGAACAGTAAATTGAAAGGTCTGTGTGCAAATGGACATATTCAGGTAGACTGTGGTAGCTCAGGATGTTCCTGCCAGTGGTCTTGACATTTTCAGTAAAAATGTGAGGAGGGAATGTAGAGTGGGGATTGTTTGTATCTTGAGAAATGTGGGAAAGTCTTCAAAAACTTCTTAGCATGTGTAGCATCATTGAAATATAACACTTTTAGTCTGAGTCACACAGATTACATATCAACCATAGAATCTTATTTGTTGCTTTATATTGCATTGCTAAGAAATGGTATGGATGCAAGTATTTTTTTTTTAATACCATTTTATTCTTACCTCCCTACTAATTCCTTTGCTATTTTGTATTGGGTAGAATATTACCTACACATTTTCCTGTGTTTTTAGCCACAGCTGAACATTTTTAGGGATGATGGTTGTTTTAATTTCACATAGGAGAAAATATTTAAAGAAATTTTTTTATTAAAATACTTTATTTATAGGTATCCAGACCCAGTAGTTATAGCAGAAAGTCCCAGTTCCAGGTAGAAGAGGAGGACATTGAAAAACTAGAAATTAGGTATGTTTCTTGGGGTTTTATACAATTGCTTTTTTCTGTGCCAAAAGAAAATCCTAAATTTAACTGGAAAAGGTTGAACAAAGCTTAATAGGAATGTGTTTAGCAAGTTGGCTGATGACTCTTAGAAGAAAGTGTATCTAATTTAAATCTAAGTTATCTTTTCAAAATCTGACTTCTTTGCAAAAATAGTATATTTATTTTATAAACAAAGATGTTTTCCACCCCTATTTTATTATTTTTAAATTTTTCACTACTTTGTTACTTAAATTTTTGAATCATAACATAATGGATACAGAGAATGTGTAGAAAAGTATTATGTATTAGCAAATTAGAAATAATTTCTTTATTCTTCTTAACATATCTGCTGTCTAACAGAAATTTCAGTGAGGTAAGAAGTCCTGTAAGATGATTCAACAAACAGGTGCATGTGTTTGAAGTTTGTGCTATTTCCTAGGTCTTAAATATATGTATTGTTTGGGAGGGTAAGTTTTATAAATGCATGTGTAGGTGTGGTGTTAACGGTGTGTTTATCTAAAGGGTGTATTAATCACATGTTTGGAATGATCAGGTAATGTATTTTCTAAAATCACCTATCTATTACTTATTAACTGGTTCTAATTGAGAAAGAAACTATAGTCTTGTGTTGGTTTCTTCTCTCAGAGTCAACAGAGTAACTCTGTAGTCCTTAATGCTACCGGTTAAAATAGTCTCTGTAAGAAACTTAAGTGCTTTCTTTTAGACTATTTAAAATAGTTACTTTCTGTGCAGTATTTTGCTTTCTTAGTTTAGATAGTGAGGTATATGATAATGCTGGCATCTCTTAAGCATGTAAGATTACTGTTATAATACACATCAAAGTAGTTAAAGCTGTTGGCAATGTATGTTTTCTTAAAATGTTTGCAAAATATAAAATCAGTTTTAAATTTTCAGGATTGATTTGTGGAACAATGGAAACCTGGTCCAAGATGTTTTCCTAGGTGAGATTAAGGTTCCTGTGAATGTCTTAAGAAATGATTCTTCTCATCAAGCCTGGTAAGAAAACAAACATTCTAGTGAATGCCATAGTAAATCATCACCTCTAATACCCTGTACATGCAAATAAATGCTTACTATAAGCACATTTTAAATTTGTCATTAACATTTAATTCATTTGGTCGTTACTATTACAGAAATGTAAGTACATTTTGATACAGTACTGAGATATAACATCTGAATTCTCTCTGAATATTTTTCTATTCAAAAACTAAATCTTATCTCTAAGGAGAAATTACATTAAAAACTTTTATGTAAGAGTTGCTCATTTGAGAAGAGGCATGATCACAAATCAGCATTTGCATTTCAGGAGTTATCTTAATGGTCATGGTAACTGTGGACATTTGAGAAGCAAAGGGTTTATTGTAGGGAATAAGCTATTTATGGGATCTAAGCAATAAACTCACCACACCCCATTGAAATGCATTGTGGATAGCCCTGATGTTATTCTCTAAATGTCTATTAGATGTTGTTGAGCTGATTCAGTTAATATACTTTTCCGGAGTGCTGGTCACTCACTCATGGCTGCAATATTGTTTTACCTTTTTCATTACAGCAAAAGTGACATTAAATTGACATTGAATTTAGTGTTCAGGTATTAGATTGATGTTAGTTTCCCAAACAGAATCACTGTAAAACTTGTTTTTTTTTTCTGTTTCTAGCACTTAAAAGCATGTATATCCTGTCCCTTCCCATAGATTGCCCAGTGGCCAGCTGTCATGCTACCCTTGAGTTTCAGCCTTTCTCATTTGCATTTTTAGTCCCATTTTTTGGATCTCTGTTTCAGTTGCCTGGCAGAGGAGTTGAAACTGAGAATTTGATATTACTTACTGGGCATTAGTCTCATTTGCCTGTAAGTGAGGCTGCCTCTCCTGATTGGCCCCACTGACATTCACTTTGGACTCAGCTATCCTCAAGCAGTTATCCTACCCTGTAGGCTAATTTTTTTAGACTCTCAAAATTTTTTATCCCTTGCAAATATATATCTAAGATTATAACTAAATTTAGTAATGATGACAAATTGATGAACATTTGAGGCCTTTCACCTCCCCCCAGCACACACACATTCTCATGAAACACACATTCTAACCCTCTAGTGTCTTTTCTACCTTTGTAAAAGTAGCATACATTTTAAAATAAAAATTTCTAAACTCAGTTCATCAGATCTTAAATTATATTCCATGCTACTCCATACAAAATATAAAATCAGTTGTGCTTCCCAGGTCCCCTCAAAGTGAACTTGAAATGTGCTGCATGCCCTGTATTTTAAGTAAGACTGTCTTCAGACAGGCCCTCCAATTTTGGCAGAATGTAAATACATTAACAGAAATTAATTTTATTCCTATATTTTCTTTTGTTGGTAATATTTTAAAATATTTTAAAGTAATGTGCCAAATATTTATATAAGTGCTAACATTTATAGTATGAAATAGAAACATCTGTTAATTCATTTATACTTACATATATAAAAAAATAAAAAACATGAATGTCATTTCCTTTTAAGTCAGAAATTAAACTCTTTGCCGCCTTTGTCAGTTATAGAGCTGTAGCATCCCCTTGTGGGATTCATGGTAACTACATGAAACTTGAGAAAAATCTGTATTAACCTTCAGGATTTTAGTCATATTCTTTCTAATCTTGATATTAGAAAAGAATAATTTTCAGTAATATAATTCTATTGTTTGAAAAACCTCAATTTGCTTTTCTTTTTCACACAATTTACACCTAGTATTTGTCTATTGTAGTCTTCCTGAAAACAGATTTTTAATGGTTCCAATTTAATTTTGTTCTCAAATTATAACAACCCAGTCATTTTCCCATTCCTTTCTTGGATTCCTTAGTAATGATGTGTATTCTTTATTCTGGAATATCTATTAAATGTTTGGATTAGCTTGTTATTGCTAATATTAACTAGCTTTAGCTTTAATCTTTGTAGATAATAGACTTTTATTTTTTTTAATTAGTAATATACTCACATGGTTCACAGGTCAAAAGGTAAAAATCTGTTTCATATGCCTATCCCTCTGCTAATCCTTTTCTCTCTTTTGAGGCACTTACTGTTTTGAGTTTCTGGATTATTTTAGGTATATGTAGGCAAATTTTGTGTGTATGTGCGCTTGTGTGTGTTCTTCTTTTCTCTTCTTCACACATGTACACATACTGTATCCTGCTCCACAACTTGTTTTTTTCTTTTAATGGTTAGTAGAACTTCAGTAAGTATTTGTTGACTAGATGGTGATTAATAGTATGGACTCTGGAACCAAACTGCCTTGGTTCAAATCCCACTGCTGCCATTAACTACCTATGTGACCCAGGACAAGTTACACCACCTGTTTGTCTTTGCTTTTTTTGACTATAAAATAGATATAATCCAGGGGCCTCCCTGGTGGCGCAGGTGGTTTAGCACCACACTGTGAAGCTGTCCGCAGCCTCTGTCCGCAGGTTTAATCCCGGCCGGCCGGCCAGCAAGAATCCCACATGGCGCAGCAGACCTCTTCTGTCTCCTGTGAATTCTCTCACCCTCCCGCGCATCTGGCCTGTAACGTGGTTCTTGTATAAAAATAAATCTTAAAAAAAAAAATGGATATAATAATACAAGTAGTTGCTTTCTAATGTTGTTAGAGATGAAATATATTTTATCCAGTAAGCCACAAGTTCTATGACTCTGAGTATACCTCAGTGCTCTCATTCTTAATAGTTGTGCTGTCATCACTATTATTTAACATCAATACATAGAGAATTTCCACTTTTTTCTTTTTGGACAGTATTCCATTGTTTGGAATGTTGTAAGTAAAGAAAGCCTTAGAGATAATCTAGTTCAGTCTCATTTCTACAGTCAATGTCAGAGAACTTAATGTGTGTAAAACTTTTGGGTGAATATATAATACAAATTGGTACAATAATTCTCCCCACACAATGATCTGTAATGTAAAACTAGACATCAATCGAAGAAAATAAATATAAAGCTCTAAGTAAATAAATGGTAATTAAAACAAGTGGTTGATTTTTTTTCCCCTACATAAGCACTTTACATACATTTAAAACTAAAATAATATTTTATTTGAGATGAATTGGTTTTCTAGTTGGCTAATTGTGGTCCTTAACTTTAGTAAATATCTATTGATGCATTTTTGGAACTGAATTATAATATTTCTGGAGCCAGAAATAACCTTTAAATAGTAGTAGAGCTGCCTTTGAGAAAAGCTCCTTTCCAGCCTCTGTAACATTGTGTACAAATGATTATAATCTTTGTCTGCCTAGCACAATTGTAATTATACAAATCTGTGGTTAAATTTTTTCAAATAATAATTTTTTTCTAGTAAAAGGCTATCAAAACTGCTGATTCTTGAGAACATGTGGATTACTTTTATGCCTCTACTCATAAATGAGAAAAGTATGTGTAGAGCAGCTAATGTTAAATTTAGTTAATAATTTCTCTATTTCCATTTCATATTCTTTCATGCTAACAGACATCGTTCAAAAACTGAAGAAAATATACTTGATTTCTTTTGTATTTCTAAATCTTAGGCACACCAGATTACCCTCATTTAATAAACCTTAAGGATTTTTTATTTTATCTCTAATTAAAATTACTTAATTCACAAGGGATCCTTCAGATAGTTTAAACTGAGCCTTTGTAACCAAATTTTAAAATAATAAATAATATTTACAAAATTATATAAACAATGTGTCATAGTTATATTTACATAGTGTTTACTATGTACTAGGCCAAGTAAGTTAAGTACTATATAGTCTCTGAGGATATTTTAAGATTAACAATTAAATCAGATACTATTACTATTTATTTAACAGATAAGGAAACAAGCACAAAGATGCAGTGATTTGCCTAAGGTCACACAGCTGGACAAGCTCTGACTCCAAAATCTGTGCTCTTAAGAAGTGTACTATAACAATTTCTACTTTGGTATAAAAATTTTAACTCAAAAATTAAAATTAAAAAAATACTTTGTTTTAAGCTGTCAGCAAAGATTTGAATGCTCTTACTTATAAAAATATTATTAGAAAGAAAATCAAAATGTTCCTTAATTGTTATGTGAAGGATTATGTGGATAAGACAAAATATGTATGTAAAAACAAAGGCAGCTTTAAATATTCAAGGAAAAAGAAAGGCCTCAAAGTCAAGGAAAATTTGTAGAATCCAAACCATCCTAACACCTTGTATCCATAAAAATCAGTAACTGGCTTAGCACTGACCTAATCCTTCCATGCCAGGATTGTAGACCTATTTTGGCTGATATTTTGTAATTTATAAGAGTAACAGAGAGAGAATGTATACTTTATCCCTTACTAATTTGAAGATAAGGGAAAGTTGCTTTCTGACTAAAATTCCTATAGAACAACCCAAAACACACTGTAAATCTGACTAGTTTGGGACACTGTTTTAAGATGGATGGGGAGGCAGAACCAGGTTGTAAACATAATTCAACTGATTTTATTCTACCATATATGGAAAACTAATTAAACTAGACATGGAAGATTAATCTAAATAAAAAAGCATCCCAAGGAGGCAAACATGGGTCCTTCCTACTCGAACATAATCAAGGGTAAGGGATTCTGCTGTAGAAACATTATTGTTTCCTTGTAACACTATTGTCTTAGATGGGAGATTCTTAAGACCACTTAGAACTCTGTGTGTGTCTATATTCACCAGAGTGCCTTTTTATAATTTGACATTGTAATAGCTTACCAATAGGTAAAATATTAATTAAACAGATTTTAAAATTCTATTAACAGGTAAAAAAAAATGTATTAGTCAAAGTGAGGGATGTAGATGAAACACTATGGAAAGTGATGATAATTGTTGAAACCAAGTGATAAATATTGAGATATGAGGGTAATGATGGAATTCTTAATTGTTAATATTAATCACTTTTCTGAATGAACGTTTCCCTAATAAAACTTGTCAGTGACAAAATAGTGCATATATCTTTGCCACTTGACTACTGTTTTTTCTTTTCATAAATTTAGTGATTTGCCATCTATTTTAAATATACTAGTCTCTGCCTGGTTATTGTAATTCAGGTTCACTTTTAGTTATGCTGATAAAACTATGTATCTAAATTTGTGAGACTAGAGAATACACTGATTGTAGGGATTTTTTTTTTTTAATTTTATTTTTATATTCCCCATTCAATTGCAGTCCCCTTATTTTGACCCCATTCCCTCCTTTCCCCGCCTCCCCCATAGTATGTCTCTGGTTCATAGTTGTTTGTTGATTTTGATTTTGTCTTTCTTATAGCTATTCTTTTTCCTGGTCTCTTATTTAGGTTTTCTAGATTCCTGCTATGAGTGAGACCATCCGGTATTTTTCTTTTTCTTTCTGGCTTATTTCGCTGAGCATGATCCCTTCCAGCTCCATCCATGTTGCTGCAAATTGCATGTGTTTATCTTTTTTGAATGCTGACCTGCACCCCTATGTTTATAGCAGCACTATTTATAATAGCTAAGCTTTGGAAACAACCCAAATGCCCAAAAATAGATGACTGGATCAAGAAGATGTGGTGCATATACACCATGGAATATTACTCAGCATTCAAAAAAAGACTGTAGGAAATTAACCAAAGTAATGCCCTTTTCTGGATCAGCCAACTATACTTCCCTTAGAGGTACTTCTGAGTCACCTTTGCTAATAGGTTTATTTCCAGTTATTTCCTTGCACAGAACTTTAAACCATTGTATCTCAAATCAGAGAGCAGAAGTTCTAAAGGTTGTTGTTCCAAGACAGAAAATCTCCTTTTGGGAGTAGCAATGCAATTTCTATGTAATTTCTTTTCCCCCTATTACCATCCCCTCATCATTTAAATTTTGCTTAAATTCTCTGGTTCTAATTTATATTTTTATCATGTTTCTCAAAGTAATAAAAATTTTATTAAACCTCCTTCCACTCTTCTGTTTTCAAACAAGTTAGTCTGTTAGGGAAAGTCATACATGATAAATATCAAAAGTAAATACCCAAACTTCTGACTTTATAAAGAACATTCTAGCTAATAAATGGAGGAGAAATGATAGAATTGTAGAACTATCATTTCGTAGCTAGTAAGTGAAGGTGAAATGATAGAATTGTAGAATTACCATTTTGCATAATGATGAAGATTAATGATTAAGCAGTGACTGCTAATATCACAAAAAGAAACAATCAGGTATTAGTGCCTCTTAGTAGAACTATACAACACTGTCAATGAAATGTTCTTGCTGTAATATCAAATATTAATCTAACCAAGCCTCTGCATCTAACTATCCAAAATACAAAGGAACATATTAAATGCCATTATGGAGATAGACGTTAACACAACCCCCAATGTGAAAATTCTATCGGACAAACTACCTGATTTCTTAGGGAATGGGGGGCTTTGTAGATTAAAGGAAAATTCTGGATGGTGTTTGTCTTCAAGTATATATTTGTAAGTATATATTGTAAATAACTACGTATACATTCCAGTTATATATAGTTATATATCTGCTGAAATATTTATAGATGAAATTCCGACACTTGCCATGGCTTTAAAATAATGCAAGGGGTGGGTCTCCCTGGTGGGGCAAGGGGTTAAGCACAGCACTGTGAAGCAATCCACAGCCTCTGCAGCATGAGTTCGATCCCTGGCCGGCCAGGGAAAAACCCACATGGCAAAGCAGACCTCTCCTGTCTCTCCTGCTACTCCCCTCAGCAGTGTATTTCAGTCAGTCTGCCTGTTCTATTCCCCACTCTGTCTCTGGTGAGTCCTTGCACCCACCCCTCTCATCTCTGGCCTATACCCCAGCTCTTGTATGCATGAATAAATAAATCTTTGGGAAAAAAATAATGCAAGGGATAAATAGAGGTATGACTGAAATAAGAATAGACCTGTATTGATAATTACAGAAGCTAGGTGATAAGTTCATGAGGTTTCAGTATACTACTGTCTTTACTTTTATATGTATTTTTAAATTTCCATAATAAGTCTTATAACTTTCAGATTTCTGGTTTGGATTTTATAAACTTCCCTTGATTTTTAGGCATTTCTCTTTTCTTGAATATGTAAAGCTGCCTCTTTATATGTGTATTTTCTGTCTTTACTTACAACTACATATATCTTTCTTAAATTTAGTTGGATTTTAAATATTTTACTTTTTTTATCCAACCTTTAAAGCTAATCCTCTTTCTTTGAGATCTTAATTTTTTATAGCTATACTTTTTTATTTAATAAAAAGCCTCTTAAGTTTAATAGTCTGGTACTTTGAAAGTGTCCTAACCTTAAGTATTAAATTGAGTTCTTTGGTTTCGTTTTTCATAACCTACTTAGTTGTTCACTTACCTCCCTGGCTTGGATGCCCATTACCATAACTTGGTAATGATTGTATGATTGTATTTTTTACTTTAGGTACTTGCTACAGCCAAGAGACAATGGAAACAAGTCATCTAAAACTGATGACCTGGGGTCTCTTCGGTTAAATATTTGTTATACAGAAGACTATGTGCTTCCTTCAGAGTACTATGTTCCTTTGAAAACATTGCTGCTAAAATCACCAGATGTCCAGGTACTTTAAAAATCTTAAGTGTTTGATGAAAAGACTTAAAATAACTCTGTTAATGGGCCTCCCCTGCTTGCGCAGGCAGTTGAGCACAGTGCTGTGAAGCTGTCCGCAGCCTCTGCAGCATGGGTTCGATCCCTGCTGGCCAGAGAGAATCCCGCATAACATGGCAGACCTCTCCTGTTGTGCCCGCTGCTCCCTTCAGCAGTGTATTTTGGTCAGTCTGCCTATTCTGTTTCCCACTCTGTCTCTGGTGAATCCTCTCACCTTCCCGCACATCTGGCCTGCACCCCGGTTCTTGTATGCATGAATAAGTAAATCTTTAAAAAAAAACCTCAGTTAATGATGAGGAAAAGATTTCAGAGTATCAAATTTTATTAAAACAGCAAATACATAGCTATGTTTAATTTACCTGAACCAGAAAACTGTGATTCCAATATGTATTCACAATTTCATTTCTGATAAAAATTATAAAATTAAATATTCTTCTATGCAATAGTTATAGTGAACATATTTGAGTTTCTTTTTCAGGTTAGGGATTGAACGTTTAATCATGTTCCCTTAATTTTATGCTTTCTGCCTTTTTTATTCTAGCCAATCTCTGCCTCAGCTGCTTATATTTTGGGTGAAATATGTAGAGATAAAAATGATGCTGTCTTGCCTCTTGTGCGACTGCTGCTACACCATGATAAACTTGTTCCTTTTGCCACAGCAGTGGCTGAATTAGACTTGAAGGATACACAGTAAGAGTTATATTTTTTTTATATTTTATTCAGTATTACCTATGTATTGTTGAAATTGAACCCTAGTTTGCCAGTTTGTTTTATAATCACCGTTCCTTTGTGTTGAGCAGCTTTATTGTGAAATAGTCTGAAAAGTTTGTTACTTGGCAAGTAATAAAAGAATTTTGTAAGTTAGCAAACAGTGTCCACCAACAATAAAGTTAAAGATTATTTTTTCTAGCTCACTGTCAAAATTTCCTTTTACTAATCTTTGCTTTTCAATGGTCACAAATGAAACACTAAGTCAGAAGGTTTTTTTCCATATGCAGTATGTGTCATCCTTTCATGTACATGCATGATATTATAAAAAGCAATCACATGGCTTCCCATTCCTTGTCATGGTCTGACATGCCCATTGTTACACATATACCCTCTGTCTCTCTCTCTCTCTCTCTCTCTCTCTCTCTCTCTCTCTCTCTCTCTCTCACTCTCACACACACACACACACACACACACACACACACACACACAGAGCCTAGTTTTATAGTTCATAAATATGCTTTTTTTCCCCTACAACTTATTTTGAGTGTAATTTTGCTATTTTTGAAAATCCTAATGGCAGCAATCTTTTAAATGCATCATAAAAATTACTAAAAATATGATCAAAGTTAAATATCAGTAATTGATTTCACAGTCTTTGTTTACTGCACTTGGTTTCACCTTATTTATTTTTATATTTCAGAGATGCAAACACAATTTTTAGAGGAAATTCCTTGGCTACCCGTTGTTTGGATGAGATGATGAAAATAGTGGGAGGGCACTACCTGAAAGTAACATTAAAACCTATTCTAGATGAGGTACAGTATATACCTCTGATATGATTGCTTATGTGACTTTACTGTAGCATCTCTATTCAAGTGATCTATTGACTGGAATGATACATGCATTCATATATTACTAAAGGAATAAGGCTAAACACATTAGAAGTAGAATAAACAACTTATCCATCAGTGGATTTTTGCTCAAAGGGTACATTGTAATATGTTCCACATAATTATTTCTTTGTTTGTACATTTCTGTTTTAGCTAGAATTTCAAATATGTAAGAATCCTTTTTTTTTAATGTAGTTCTTTGGGGATATTGCATATTTTATCTCTGGAGGTTTTAAACTTCATTACAGTTTTCATTTTTATGATTGTATCATCAGAACAATAATATTTTTTACTTAGCCAATTTTTTAAGAATTGGAATTTAAATAAAAGGTTAATCTACTTTCCAGATATGTGACTCTTCTAAATCCTGTGAAATCGATCCTATTAAATTAAAAGAGGGAGATAATGTAGAGAATAATAAGGTAAGTCCTTGTTATCAGTATAATGGCATTAAAATTGGCCTTAATGATGTAACTATCTCTCACTTATGTTGTAATAGTGTTACATGGAGGGAATCAGTGCTTTTTATTCTTTACATAATGTCCATTCTACTTGTAGCATTTCCTGTGTCTAGCTTTTAGAATGTTATTTCCTCATTGAGTTTCACTGTGTTTTTGTGTGTGTTTTTTGCTGTAGTAACAATAATGGATTAAGGCTATCTCCAATTACATCTCCCATTCTGGCCATTCCATTGGGGTCAGGTTGGTCAAGCTGTTGCAAAATGATTTGATCAGTTTATACTTTTAGTTGGCTCTGGAGAAACAATGAGTTTTAGGGTCATTAATGCCCATGTTCCTGCATATTTGAATTATTTCCCTGTTTTCCTTTTGTCTTATTTTCTGTTGCTTCTTGTGAAGTTTATTCCATATATTCACCTCTTATATCAAGCTAGTCTAAAACCCATCTGTTAAATTTAGGTCAGAATATAAATGCTCTTGTACCTGAATGAGTTTGGAGACGTGGTGCAAGCCTTTAGAATACTGATAGTGACGATGTAATAGATCTCATTTTCATTGCAATTTTTCCATAAAGGCTATTGATGATGTCAACATCTTAATATTTACTTCCAAAATCCTACAGGAGAATCTGCGCTACTATGTAGACAAGTTATTCAGTACTATTGTAAAATCAAGTATGAGCTGCCCCACTGTAATGTGTGATATCTTTTACTCGCTAAGGCAGATGGCTACTCAGAGATTTCCTAGTAAGTACCTTGTTTATTAAAACATATCTTTTCTTTTTCTGTATTTAATATTTCTTGTATTTTGATTTCTGTGAAATATTTAATGCATATAGGTAATCTTTAGGTTCTCAAAGTAATTCTGACCTTTTCATGAAACATTTATTTTCTTATAATCTCAAAACATATTCTAGTAAAATGGCAGCTTTATACAAAGAGCAATTGAAAATCATCATTATTTTTAAGGTAAAAATTTAGACCTGTATCATATAAGTAAACATTTATAACATGTGCTTATAAGATTGTTAAATATAATAAACAAGAACACTTGTTATTTGTATACTTCTACATTTCTACTTGTATGCATTTAAATAGTGAAAATTTTTCTATACAAACTGACCGTATTTGAAGTTTGGGAATAGAAAGGTTTTGGTGGTGAAAAGTTTTTACAGAAATGGTGTAAGGCATTAGAAACATTTCTGTTGCATATATAGAATTTAATTTTGCGAGAGTAGCTATATAAAGGCTTTCCTTGAAAATATTTCATAAAATTAAGTGTTGCTGTCTCTGATTGTTAATCTCAGAATTATTCTAATTAAATGTATATTTAATAAGTAAACTTGCCGTAGCTGTCTTTCCAGATCTGTCTATAATGGGGTGGGGGGAGGGTACAAGGAGGTAAGCTCTTAAATTATCAGTTTGTTCCCAGCTGTGTGAAACTGTAACCTTATTTGTGACTTTCTGAAGAGATTCTACTATTTTACCATGTTTGTGCATGTGTATGCATGCCCATGTATGTAAATTGTCTCACCCTTCACTAATTAACCCAGTATTAAAGTGATGGAACTAACATGTAAATTCAGACCTAGATGTTTTTGTTACTTTTAGTAAAGACATAAACAGTTAACTTCAAATAAATACACTGAATCTAGTCTTTGTAACAAAATGAGGGGGAAAGACATGAAATAATGACTGAAATTATGTTTCTAAATAGTGTGTTAGGTCATGATAACCACATTGAATAATTATGTACAGGCACAATGCTAACCTGCATTATCTCCTGTCTGATAACAGCATGAGGTGGACAATAAATTGGCTTAGAAAAGTTACTTGCCCATTGTCCCTGCTTTGGCCAGAGACAAAGAAGTCCTCAGACCTGGATGTGGCCTACTGCAAGGCAGACACTAATCATTGTATTCTACCCAGTGATCTTGGCCTTAAGCATACATTAGCTGTTTAATTCCTATTTATCTAAATGATCTAAAACCTCTTTTGATTTTTTATAAAAGCAAACTATCTTTTGTTGACTTTGTTAGTTTGTCTTCTTGTCCTCATCACTATTGTAGTGATAGTTTGGTTGTGATAAAGTATTTTTGTATTATCTCATTTATGCTTCTTACTACCTGGGAAGATCATGGAGGGTATGGGATACCATGAATAGGAAGCATATCATACAAAAAACTGCTAGTTAAATGACTTGCTGATGACTACCCCAGTGAATGACTTGAATAACAAAAGAGATGAAATTCAAGCCAAATTCAGACATTCTTTCCCTTATCACCTGCTTCTCCAGCATCAGATTGTTGGGTTAAGTGTTGACTCCAGTGTGAAATGAAAGTTTTAGATAACATGATCAGAGTCACAAGTTGTCTACCAGCCACTAGTATTTTTTGTGGAATATTGATAAAATTTTAAGAATAAAGATTTCTGCCTAATTTCTTTATTGTATCACCTTTGATGTTACCAAGATTTTTGAGGGGGAAATTGAAATATCATAAAACTGAAACAATTTCCTACCTTAAAATGTTGTGTATTACCACTAGCTAATGCTAGGTGCCACTTTTATTTTCTGTTGTAATTTCAAAAGTGTTATTGCAAATGAGAAGTATATTTCCAAATTAAAATATTTCTGAAAACCCAGTAGTTTTGCTTTTCATTTTCTTTATTATTTCTTTCGGATGATTTTTAGGCATAGGATTTTCCCTTTTAATTTAGTCAGTCATTGCTATGACTGCATCTGCTCAATCTTTACTAGACAAATTATATAGATCTCCTATTTAGTTTACATGTTTTTTCAATATTTTTTTACTTTGTCATCAGTGTGTTTTAATTCAGTGTTTTTGTGCATGACATTTCACCATTTTTTCCTGCAGATGACCCTCATGTTCAGTATTCTGCAGTGAGCAGCTTTGTGTTTCTTCGTTTCTTTGCTGTAGCCGTAGTCTCACCTCATACTTTTCATTTGCGACCTCATCATCCAGTAAGTGTTGTTCTTCTCAAAACTTTATTCCACTTTTATTTATTTTTATTACAATGAAGAAAGGATAAAGCAACAAGCCACTTTCATTTTGCAGTATTGTCTGATAGCCGATAGTTAAATTTACTGGGAATTTTTTGGTGCCATTTCAGTTTTTCAAAAGGCTGAAAATTCTATTTTTTAAAATTGTAGTTAAAAGATATTACACAAGAGTAATAAAATGTTGATAAATGGTAAAAAATACAAAAAGGATTCATTACATTTTCCTTTTGCTTTTGTTTGTAAATTTCCATAAAAGTTTCTTTTTTTATTATAGGTTTAACATAGCAGATATTTTTAAATCTCACAGAAATTTAAAGAGGCTTTTTTCTGAAAGATGTAAACTTTTACTGAAGTATAATTTGTTTGGTGTATCTATTTTTGCCTTTTCTTCACCTAAGATAATATTGTACATATGGTGAGATTTAAATATTTTTAAAAAGCATATAATCATTTTGTTCTGAAGTCCTATTTAATTACTGTAGTTGAATCTGCACTGCATAGATTTACTTATTTCTTAACATTTTAAGACTCAGTTTTGCTGTTTCTGTTACCTTCTCATATATTTTTGCTGACTTTTTTTGCTGACTTTTTATCTTTTGTTACCCATATACTTTATAATCTTATCTAATTGCTTTTGTTGCTGATTTGTATAACATAATAGTCAACGTTTAGTGCTTACTTTGTACTGGGCTTTGTTCTTAGTATTTTATATTTTTTAGTCTTATCAGTGATCCCATGAGGTAAATTTTATTATTGTCATTCCTATTTACAGATAAGGAAATCACAATTTAGGAATTTTCCAAAGTTATAGCTGAGAAATTATGATTAAATCTTAATCAATTTGAATTGAATTAAGCCAGGATTCTGATTCATTCAGTCTTTACAGTTTGTGAGCTTACCTCTGCTCCACCCTGCCTCTCATGCAGACAGGTGTTTGAGCACCACAATGTATCAAACACTGTGCTCAGCACTGAATAAAGCAGTGTTGAGGAAGATTCTCCCTGCCCTTAGGAAAATCACCGCCTAATTCAATGTAGGGAAGCTGCATGGTTTCTACAGTTGGATGTAGGCTCTGAAGGCCACGCCTCCTCTTGACAGCTGTGTGACATTACCCTCCCATTTAACTTTGAGAACTGAATTAGAACCACACTTCTGTGGTAGCAGTACATCCTTTCTTGCCAAAGGACAAATGGTCTGTGAATAGTACAGCAGTGAGTGGGCCAGTGTTCTTTTGTTCACATGCTGTATAGCACTCTGGCAGCAAAAGCTTGGTAGCAGCATTCTGGGGATAAACAGAACTCCTACCTCCGAGCCTGTGACCCTTGTTGTTAGAGTTAGATCTGCATTTTCCTGTAAAAGATGTTGCAATAAAGTCCTTCTAATACAAACTCTGTATTTTAGGTCATTTTTTCCAATCAGTATGCCAGGCGGACTGCTCAGACTATTATATGTGTATTGTTTGCTTTTAAATGTAACCATATGCCTTCTTTTTAAGAATCTTTTGTATTAATTAGGGAAAACAGAGCAAATATGTAAGATGGATTATCTAAAGCTATTGGGTTGTCAGAAAAGTCATGATACATTTTTTAATAGGCCGTGACTTTTCCAACAACCCAATATATGCTTAAATCTAAAATTAGCATCTGATTAATATTATGTAAGATGTATAGACAATTCTTACACTAGAAATTGAGAACAAAAACCAATCCCAGTGACTTGGGGGTGATGACATTATCAATTGTCAAGACCAGTGTTGAAAATTACAGGGTAGTTGGGGGAAAGAATCAATTAAAAGGCTGTTGGAATTTACTTTTAGAAGTTCTTTGAATTTTGAGAAGCCAGTTTTTGTGGAGAAGAAAATCAGATTGCAGAAGACTGAAGAATAGGTCAGTGCAGTTTTACCTAGGTAATATGTCAAAATGGTGCTTGCCCTGCTGCTGGGAGGGCTAGGAAAATTCAAGCATGTATACACATGTGTGCATGCACACTTGAATGAATTACTTTTAAAAACTAATTAAAATATGGGTTATGTTAACATTAACATGATTGACCATTCTTTTTGACAAGTTTCATGATGACAAACAAAAAAGACTGTAACTTCCTTCTTACTATATCCTCTATTTTCCCATTGAGCACTCCTTTTAAAACTCAGCCATGATAGACTTTTCTAACCCTTCAGTCTGGGTTAGGTATCTCTCTTATGTGTGCGTATAGCACTGTCTGCTTCTCTCTGTCATGGCATTTGTCGTGTTGTATAATCATCTGTTTATAGTCTTCTGCATGTGACTGTTAATACCTTAGGAGCGGGGGCTGGATATTTTTTCAAATTTGAGTGTTCCAAGGTCATGGAAGAGTTTCAAGGAAAAGTAGATAGATGCTCAGTAAATGTTTGATAAGTATAGCCCAGAGAGGGAGACTGTCAAATGATGAGCCTTTCAAAATGGGGAAGCCTATATGTGGTTTAAATAGAAGAGACAAGACCAACAGAAAGGGAGAAATTAAAAAAAGAAGGATATCAGATCAGTAATCCTGGAGGATTCAGAGTGAATGTCCATAAAAGAAAATGTGATAGGGTAAACATTAGAGGAAAGAACCAGTTCCTTCTTTGAAAGAAGATACCATCTTGGGAATAAATCTAACAAAAGAGGTAAAGGACCTATACAAAGAAAACTATAAAACACTGTTAAAAGAAATAGAAGAAGACACAAAGAAATGGAGAGACATCCCCTGCTCATGGATTGGAAGAATAAACATTATTAAAATGGCCATCCTTCCAAAAGCAATATACAGATTCAATGCTATTCCAATCAAAATTTCAATGTCATTCTTCAAAGAAATAGAACAATTATTGATGAAATTCATATGGAATCACAAAAAACCCCGAATAGCCAAAGCTCTCCTGAAAAAAAAAGAAGGGAATGGAGGCATCACACTCCCAGACTTCAAACTATACTACAAAGCCATAATCATCAAAACTGCATGGTATTGGAACAAGGACAGACATACAGACCTATGGAATCGAATAGAAAATCCAGAAATAAACCCACAGATTTATGGTCAACTAATCTTTGACAAAGGAGCAAAGAATATGCATTGGAGCAAAGAAAGTTTGTTCAATAAATGGTGCTGGGAAAACTGGGTCGCTACATGCAAAAGAATGAAGCTTGACCACTACCTCACACCATACACAAAAATCAACTCAAAATGGATTAAAGAACTAGACATAAGACCTGAAACCATAAAATATATAGAAGGAAATATAGGCGAAACACTACGTGATTTGCACATCAAAGACATCTTTACAGACACATCACCCAAAGCAGTGATAGTGAAGGCAAAGATAAACAGCTGGGACTACATCAAATTAAAGAGCTTTTGCACAGCAAAAGAGACAATAACAAAAACAAAGAGAAACCCCACCAACTGAGAGAACATTTTTGCACCCAACACTAATGATAAAGGACTGATCACAAAAATCTGCAAAGAGCTGATGAGACTCAACAACAACAAAGAAAATAATCCAGTCAAAAAATGGGCAGAAGAGCTAAAAAGAAACTTCTCTGAAGAGGAAATGCAAATGGCCAACAGACATATGAAAAAATGTTCAACATCACTTGTCATCAGGGAAATGCAAATCAAAACTACCATGAGATACCATCTTACACCAGTGAGAATGGCACATATTAAAAAAACTAGCAACAACAAATGTTGGCGAGGGTGTGGAGAAAAAGGAACTCTTCTGCACTGTTGGTGGGAGTGCAAACTGGTCCAACCACTGTGGAAAGCTGTGTGGAGATTTCTGGACCTACTAAACATAGAGCTTCCATATGATCCAGCAATTCCACTCCTAGGTATTTACCCAAAGGACACAGAAACATCAATTCCAAAGAGCACCTGCACCCCTATGTTTATAGCAGCACTGTTTACAATAGCTAAGCTTTGGAAACAACCCAAATGCCCAAAAATAGATGACTGGATCAAGAAGATGTGGTACATATATACCATGGAATATTACTCAGCATTCAAAAAAGATAAACACATGCAATTTGCAGCAACATGGATGGCGCTGGAAGGGATCATGCTCAGCGAAATAAGCCAAAAAGAAAAAGAAAAATACCGGATGGTCTCACTCATAGCAGGAATCTAGAAAACTTAAATAAGGGACCAGGAAAATGAATAACTATAAGAAAGTGAAAATCAAAATCAACAAAAAACTATGAACCAGAGACACTTTTAGGGGGGCGGGGGCGGGAGGGGAGGGATTGGGGTCAGAATGGGGGGGCTGCAATTGTATGGGGAATATAACAATAAAATTTATAAAAAAAAAAAAAAGAAAGAAAGAAGATACCATCTACTTTATGCCTATGCCAGGCTTTTACTGGGTGCCAGATGTTTAGGGTACTGGACATCTGTGAAAAATTATGATCTTAGATGACAGCAGGGGAGTGATTAGAATAGCTTGTATATAGAGTATAGCAGGGGATCCGCAGTAGCTAAGTGACGTGATTGTCAAATAACAGTGAAGATGTAATCAAACCTCTGATATGCTAAAATTGTATAAAATGTGCTTTTCCCCTCAGGGAATAGTGACCTAAATGCTGATTTTAAAACCAAATTGAACAAGAAAATCTTGGTGAAATTCAGTTCAAATTCTGTTTTTTAGCATATTATTAAGAATTTAATACTCTTTAAAGTCAGAGAATTGTAGGGACCTTTTATACATATAATGTAATCCTGGATGTTCTAGCTAAAATGTTTTCTAAATAGTCTTAATTAAGGTGTGTAACTCTTTTCAAAGATGTATCATAATGATCATATCCAAGATTATCCTTTTTTTTCCAGATAGTATTACATCCTGGTATCTTTTTTCCTTCATGTTAACTGCCTTTTTTCAATGTGAGGATATTAAAGTATTAAGTAATTTCAATTAAAAAGTAAACTACATCATTTCTGCATCTAAATTTTCTTGAGTTTGTCTTTTGATGGAAGATACTATTTATTTGAACCCCCAAAACAAAAAAAGACGTTCTATATCAATAGGGAAATTGGCTATATAAATGTTGAATTGGTGAAAACTCATTTCAGCATTTAAAATCTGTTCATGAATATCAGTTATATCTCAATTTAAAAAAAGGAGCAAGGACTTATTTTAAATGTCAGTTTTATTTATATTTTCTGGTATACCTAAAAAATGCCTTGGGTAATAGACCTAAATGATTAGTCTCTACTAAGATCCTATATAAACTGGGTGAATTCTCATTTACTAAGTTGGATTTAGATATTTGCTTCCGTGGTGAAAAGGGTTGATTACAGAAGTCATATAAATTATTGGATTTATTTGGAGGTGGGTTGAATACAGCATATTTGGAAACTGCCATTTTAGGTTATAAGGTATAAAAAAGTAGACATTGACATTCTAAAAATGAATACAGTTTGTGTAGGTGACGCAAGCTGCCATGTGTAAAAACAACTTATATATAATATTAATTAAGTCATGGGTTTCCAAAGTAACATGTTATTAAATATAATTACTTTGGAAGGAATTGTCAATTATATGTATCTTTAGTCTCTTCAATACTGAATACAGTGAGTCATGCCTACCTTTAGTTAGATTTTTTAAATGTACATTGGTTGTTTGAATGAATTTTTTTAAAGGTTTATTTATACAAGAGCTGGGGTACAGGCCAGAGGTGTGGGAGGGTGAGAGGATTCACCAGAGTCAGAGCTGGGAGCAGAACAGGCAGATGGAGCGAAAGCACTGCTAAAGGGAGCAGGGGGCGAGACAGGAGAGGTCTGCTGGGTCATGTGGGAATCAGAGGTTGCAGACAGCTTCACAGCGCTGCCCTCAACCCACTGTGCCACTGGGGAAGCCCTGAGTGATTTTTTTTTTTTTTGTGGGACCCTCGCGGCGGCCAGGGAACCAACCGGCACTGCAGAAGCTGTGGGCAGCCTTGCAGTCCAGCGCTCAACCGCTGTGCCACCAGGGGAGGCCCCTGAGTGAATATTTTTGAATCACTGTTTTAGAGCAATGTATCCATTCATCTGACTTTACTTTTTATACAAATTCTATTTTTTGAAAACTTAATAGTTTTGTTTCTTTACTCTTTTTCTAGGATGCACAGACAATTAGGACATTAACTCTCATCTCAAAAACCATTCAAACGTTGGGAAGCTGGGGGAGCCTGTCCAAAAGCAAGGTAAGTCTTTACAGTTTTTGTTTGATATTCACACTTCTAAGTATTGTTATACCCTATAAATCTCTTCTTGCTCACTCCTTTCCTGATTGAAAACAAAGCTCGATAAAAACAGACACACACACACACAGTTATATACACACATACAATAACTATCTTTTTAGATAGATTGTTGTTTCTTAGTCACAAGGGAGAGAGTCCAGTAAGCAGATGTAAAAGCCTTCTAGGGACCTCCCTGGTGGTGCAAGGGGTTAAGCATCGCACTATAAAGCTATCCACAGCCTCTGCAGCACTAGTTCAATCCCCGGCCAGCCAAGGAGCTACCCACATGGCACAGCAGACCTCTCCTGTCTCACTTACTGCTCCCCTCAGCAGTGTATTTCAGTAGATATACCTGTTTTGTTCTCTACTCTGTCTCTGGTGAATCCTCTCACTCCCCCCCGCCCCCACACACACACACTTCTGGCCTGTACCCCAGTTCTTATATGCATAAATAAATAAATCTTAAAAAAAAAAAAGATGTAAAAGCCTTCTAAATATCTGTGCCATAATCATCTAAGAACTGTTGCGAGAAATCTGCAGGCCCTATAGCTGTATTGAAATATATAATTGAATCCTTTTAGGCCTAATCCTCAACTTAAAAATACAGTCCATTATATTCTTATTTCTCTATTGAATATATTAAAATCCTGTGGTTTTTTTTCCCCTCAGTCAAGTTTCAAAGAGACATTCATGTGTGAATTTTTCAAAATGTTTCAAGAAGAAGGATATATTACAGCAGTTAAAAAGGTATGATTGTTTTATTCTGGAACCAGTAGCATTTCTTATATAGTATTGGGTAAATAGCATTCTTATTATTTATTGCAGTCAATCCCCTGTTTAAAAAAATACAGTAATGTTAAACTTTCCATCAGATAGTAACAGGTTGTCTTTTTTCCTCCTTTCTCTTCCCTACCATACCATGGGAGCTTTTTTAGCTGTGAAAATACCTAAATGAGTTTTGGCAATAGCTGCTATTGCCAGTGTCTTAGTCACACAAATTATAAATATCTAGGATTGGGGTTTCTTAACACTGGCATCATTGACAATTTGGTTGCAGTTTGATTGTGAGAGGCTATCTGATAGACTATAGACTGTTTAGCAGCATCCCTAGCATCTATCAATTAGATGCCAGTAGTATGCCTCAGTTTTGACCACTAAAAGTTTCCAAGTATTGCCAATTGTTCCCTGAAGGACAAAATTGTGAACCTATGCTCTAACGGAAAAAACTTAGTATGGTGCCACTTGGAATTTTTTCATATAATGTGCACTTAATTGCCCATAATAAAAGAATATATGAATTATTGATCATCATATAAATAATGAGAGTTTTTGGTAATAACCTGAAGAGAGTTACTATAAGTTCAAATGAATAAAAATTTACAGTATGTACTATACTAATACGAGGCCTAGCATATGTGAAAATCACTATACTTAGAAGTTTTGTTTTGCAAAGATCTTTAACTTGACTCTTTAGTTCTAAATCTTCCTAAACAAAATGTAGCATTATTGTAAAACCCTAAAACTTTAAATAAAAATTATTTTGAATTACATCTAAACTTGGCTTGAAGAAAATACTGTACCTTATCATCACAATTATAACTTAATTCAAATTAACAAGACCAAATTTTAGAGATTTCATTGAGTTTTTGTAGCATGATTCAGTTGATTTCCACAATATATTTTATTGAAGTATTTGTCTTTGCTTTTTTTTAAGGACTCAATAAATGAAAATGATTTAAAAAATTAAAGCCAGTTGAAGTTTTTTGGTGTAGAATAGTGCGACTTCATCCAAAATTTTAAGTAACCATTGAAAGCTTTTGAGGAGAAAGTCTTTCAAAAGAATAGGGGAAGAAAAAGCTGTCCTTTTATTTTTAGGACATAGTTGAAACATTTTTGGGCTAGTGTAGGCAGACTTTCACTGGCAAGATTGTAGTGTTCTGTCTTTTGTCTGGTATTGTTTTTCCATTTTTTTATAACCTAGACTGTGGTAGCATCTGATTTTTCTTTCCTTGATATAATCAGAATGTGGAATTGAAAATGTCAATGGAGTAAAGATTTTTGTGCCAGGAGTTTCTCCATTCCTATTCTGCTCTGAGTCACCCACTCACATTCTCATGGCCTATCAACCATATTATGTTTACTGTCTTTAGATTTGATTTTAGAGTCTTAAATAGACATAAGATATTTTGCTCTAATGTACTGGTTTTCTTTATAGTTTATTAGCTAAGTCTGGATATGAGCAGTGCTAGAAACCTCAAAAGCTTATTATGAAGATCATTTCTCATTTTGTAGTAGTACTCTACAATGACAGCTGCTCCAGAAGAAAATAGATAATAACTTCTGCATCCTATACTATTCTCACAGAGTTTAAGAAGGATAACCTGAATTGGTCTATCAACAGGGTAACCATAATAAGTTTTAGTGTCCAAACATGCCACTTAGCAAGAGTGTTTTTACTCTTTCTGGAGTACTATTGAGAACACTGGAATAAGTTTGCCCTGAGCAAACTAGGACCTACATTTACCCTCCATATAGTCTGTTTTAGTTATTGATTTTTCTTTCATTCTCTATAACTATATTTATCCCATAGTTCGTTATAAATAAAATAAACAACAAATGTTATATTTATCATAAATAAGCAGTAAATACTTGTCAAATCGATGCCTTAAGGAAAATAGTAAGAAATGAAATATTCAAGTAACCATTATACTCCATTATTGGATGGTTCTTCTGGTCATTTTTTACTAAGATGTTTCTTCAGTTTCCTTAAATACTTGTTCTGTATCATCACATATAATGCAAAAAGAAACACTGTTCTTATTCTTTCACTTACCAAGACTTCCTTCTGGCAATCTACAAGTAAACATTCCATTGGGGAACCCCACAATGTGGGTTTGGGTGGGCAATCTGCAATCAATCTTAGGAGAAAATGGTTGTTCCCACAAATTGTACTTTAGATCAGACACTGGTACCTCAACACCATCCTTGTTGGAAAGTGCTTTGTTTTGGTGTGTAATTTTTTTTAAGTCCTAAACCAAACAGTGTAGACAGTTATAAAGGAAATAGCAAGGACTAAAGAAATACAATCATCTATGGAGCAAAATAGGTTTCCTCTCTAAGAACAAGAATTATTCCTTGAACTACTAATTTGAAGAGACATCCACATGCCAGGAAGCTCTTGACCAGTTGAGGTTAGAAGCTAGAAGCTAGATTGCTCCTCCCTAGTGTGATGGTTATTTCAGATTTTCTTGAGGGACCACATTCCCACATTTTCTATGAAAGTTCCAAAGTGGTGATTAGGTTTCCAGGTTATTCCAGGGAACCCAATTACACTTCAGCCATAACTGTGGTAGACTGTATCTTAGGGTTCAAGTCAGTGATATGTTATAGAAGTCAGCAACTCTTTTCAGTGAAGTATCAGTGAGTAAGTGTTTTAAACTATCCTGGCCATTGAGGACTGTGCTACATATTCTTTTTTTGTTCTTACAACATTTAAAAATATAAAAGCTATTCTTAACTCATGGGCCTTACAAAAAACAGACTGCAAGTTGAATTTGGCGACCAAGCCATAGTACCCTGTCCTATAATGTAGGTTCACAGCCCTATATTTAAAATCTTAGGGACCAGGAGTATTCCAGTATTCAGTTTTTCAGAAATTTGAAAAGTTACAGATATATGCTATATATTATGGAATACTCCCAGTGGGGCCTGAGGTAGCATCCAACAATCAAGCACACTGTTTATGTGACATGTACAATGTATGAATACTCACACTAAGTAGGATAAATACAGACACTATAAATTGCCTTATGCCAGTTCAGGTTATGCTATACCTGTAAAAAAGTTTATTGTAAATGAAAGACAAAACTTTCTCTAGAGCTCTGTATTCAGAGATTTATGGATTTCAGAATTGCATTTAGGGGTTATGAATTGAATTATTTCCACAGAGAAATAAAGTCTGTATTTTAAATAACTGAAGAACAGTCTTTTTAGAATGACTGTCATCTATGGAGACTCATCTACAGTTAAATGTGTTATCCTTTATAAATTAGTTACATGTGTTCTTTAATAATGAAGAACTTCACAATATTGTCAGTGACATTTAAGATAAACTGAATTTATGATGTCCCTTATCACAAAGTATACTGTTTCTCCATTTCTCCATTTAGTTCTTGGATGAAATTTCATCTACTGAAACTAAAGAGTCCAGTGGTACAAGTGAACCTGTGCACCTGAAAGAAGGGTAATTTAATGAAATTAGGCATGAATTAAAGTCATGTTTCAGTATAGACATTAAGTAAGTATGAAGAGCATGTGTCTGGAGTGAGGAAATACGGGGTTTTGTTCTGTTCTGGAACTGCCTAAGTAACATCAATCAGGCAAGTTAACCTCACTGCCCTATAAGCTTGCAAATATAATGAGATTATGGTTATTAGAGTACTTTGAAAAGGTAACAGCACTATTCAGTCTTAAAGTAGTAGTATTGTTGGAAGTTACAGAGGAATTTCATTTACTTGGCTCTTTTTCTTCTGGACAGCACGGTTACAAATATTAAATTAATTAAAAACTATTCCTAGCAGCACTCCCACTGCCCACCTGTGACTATACAGGTGCTGCTTTTCACCAACTCTCTCCTTCTGCAGGGCAGCAGCCTTTCTGCCTGTACCATGCCGGGGCTTCCCATCACTGACCTCCCTCAGCGGAGGTTGCTCCTCTCAAGGCCGCCAACCTGCAACCATACAGGCCTCTTAGCAAATCTGTTCCTACGGGGCAGCTCTTCCTGCCCGCTTGTGTTTATGCAAGTGTATTTTGCTATCCTATCCCTTTTCTAATAAACCTGCTCTTTAAATTAAAAAAAAAAAAAAGATATTCCCTTAGTATGGGCAAAATAAATGCAAAGAGTCATAGATGGCAAAGGCATTTTAATATAATTAACATAATCTTCTACAATTATTCATGTCACTCAAAATTAAGGACTATTCTTTTTTTGGATTAATGGTTTTAACATTTCTAGCTAAATGCTTATATCTGTTGTTTTGACAGTGAGATGTATAAAAGAGCTCAGGGAAGAACTCGGATTGGAAAAAAGAATTTCAAGAAACGGTGGTTCTGCTTAACAAGCAGAGAACTCACCTACCACAAACAGCCAGGTAGTTGTGTTTATTCTTTTTTGTGGGGTCTTTTCCTGGTTTTCAGTGAAACTATTTTTTGCTGCTTAATGTTGCTCTGGTGAGTCTTTTTACTAATACTGTAGTTTATTTTCCTACAGTGATGCATACAAAGAATATAATATTTTATAATTTATTTTATAAATTTTATAACTTTATAATAAGAATATAACCATATAAACTATTTTTTTGTTATACATTAGTCTTGTTACACATTATGTTACTAAAAATTGTTTTTCTACAGTATGCTCTGTTTTCTTGAACTTATTTAAGTTTGTTCCTTTGGGGTAATGTGATATCAGCTGAATTTTATTAGCTTTTGGTACCTTAGCAAGAGTTTAGTATCTAGCTCACAGGTCCAGTACAGGGGATTCTTTTTATTCAAAGTGGTCAGTCAGGATCCAAAGGTGTTCACAGAATCAAAATCATTGCTTGAGGCAAGAATCATTAAAAAACAAGCAACAGGGTCTCCCTGGTGGCGCAAGGGGTTAAGACACAACCTATGAAGCTATCTGGCCAGGGAGCTACCCACATGCGCAGCAGACCTCTCCTGTCTTGCCCGCTGCTTCTCTCAGCAGTGTATTTCAGTCTGCCTGCCTGTTCTGTTCCCCACTCTGGTAAATCTCCTCACGCCTCCCCTCCATGCCTCTGGCCTGTGCCCCAGTTCTTGTATGCATAAATAAATAAATCTTTTTTAAACAAAAAACAAGCAACAGGATACATTCAGGTATTACATATTTGTTTGTTTGTTACCAGTCTTTGCTAAAGAGAGAGATCTTTACATTGATATTCTGGGGTCTTATTTTGGGTTAAGACTTAAGAATTAGATGATGGGCCTCCCTGGTGGTGCAGGGGATAGCTATGAAGCTGTCCCCAGCCACTGCAACACAGGTTCGATCCCCGACCTGCCAGGGAGCAACCCATGTGGCGCAGCAGACCTCTCCTGTCTCGCCCGCTGGTCCCATCAGTGGTGTATTTCAGCAGATCTGCCTGTTCTGCTCCCCACTCTTCTGAGGAATCCTTTTGCCCTCCACAACTCTGGTCTACACCCCAGTTCTTGTATGCATAAATAAATAAATCTTTTTTTTTAAAAAGAATCACATGATAACTTTGGACCTTATCCTCCAGAAAAATGTACATACAAACTTAGACACAAAATTTTACATGCAATTTTCAGAGTTTATAGACCCAAAGTCCTTCCACAGTTCTCAATAACTCTGTCTTATCCCGTGATCTTATGAGGATAAAAATCTGGAAGAATTTAGAAATAAGCGGTTCCAAATATAATAGAGATATAGTGGAAGCAATGTTGTTTTCAGTCCTTAAGAAATTTAACATGTTTAAAAGAATAAGCTCTATTTTTGTATGAAGTTTTGAGATTGTTTACCAAAGCCTACAGTTTTAAGCATATATGCTTTCTATTTTAACTATTTTGATGGATTTTTCCAAAATGTGTTACATGCTTCCCTGCCTTCTAAAAAAGAGTTCATTGAACGTAAGTTAACATTTTCTAGATGACTCGGTCTGGCATTGATAATAGTAATTATTATATAGTGTGCTGATTTAATAATGTGTTCAGAACTGCTATGGTTGTGTTCAGTTGTTTATTCCTTAGCTAAATGCCTTGGACTGCTGTGCTTTTTTGTGTTCCTTTGTTTGCTTTATACAGTTTTTCTCTACCCTCTTTATGTTCAGGCTGTCACTGTAAATTTTTTATGCTGTCAATGAATAAAGTAATATCTCATTCCCACACCCGTCAACCCACCTCCATTTTACTTACTGCTAATATACTATTAGTGAGGATGCAGGTACTATGTTTGTTAAAATTGTACATAAGATTAAGAGATTTTGAAGATGCATGGGCTCTAGAATCTGGTCGTTCCGCAAATGTTTTGCATACTTCTTGTTTCCTTAGTATTTTTTGGATAGCCAAGACTACTAATTAAATAGACTCTTGCTTCATTTACTGTGTTACTTCTGGTTTTTGAAAGAGTGCCTTGCACAGTTTTTGTAATATAGCTCTAAATAATTGAGTCTCACTCTGTCCTCTTGCTGGACACTAGTATTCTGAATCAAGTGTTTCTATCACTTAAAATCAAATGCTGTGGTCTTTTGCCAGTTTACTGGAATTTTCTCCATCTTGAGGGTTTTTCTCAAATATTTTTGATGTCTACTTAGGTAATTGTTAATAAGTAACTAATCTTCATTACACGAAATAAGCTTATTGCATATGAGTATCATATGTCCCTCAGTCAGCTCTCAGTCATCATTGCTTTGACAGTTATTTAGGGGCCAGTGTTTGTGATTAATTCTGAACAGCTATACTGAAATATAGACATTTTCCACAAAATAAAATTCTAGTTGTATGCTTGAGTCAGTTATTGATTTTCCAGTTTCTTCCAGTCTCACCCAACCTCATCGTCATTTTGCATCTTCATGTGTTGCTTCCTTCACTACCTCTTGTAGCTCCTTTAACTTGTGCTCCTTTATATTCATGCTTTTGCATATACTCTACCTAGAAATCCCTTTCTTTCTTTCTCTATCCCTGTAATTTTTGTTCCTTAAGCACCAAATTAAATGTCAGCTCTTATGGGAGTCGTTTATAAGCTCCTGACTGTTAATAATTCAGTATTCTCTTGCTATGTTTCTTTAACACCTTGGTGATAACTTCTGTCATACTCATTGGTCGTTACTTTGGTCTTTTCCCTTAACCTTTAAGATCCTCAGTGGTAGGAGACATGTTTTTACTACTTATATTAAGGAACTTATATTAAGGAACTTCCTTATATTAAGGAACTTTTACTACTTATATTAAGGAACTTAGTACGTGTTTTTAATAAATGGTTCCCTTCAAAGAGCACCATGTCTTCCAAATATGTTATATGAATTGCTTTTAACAACCAAAGCTAGGTTTCTAGCACTTTCACCAAGCATACTAAAATTTAACAAAATTATCTTTGAAATTCCATTCTATGTTCTCCAAACTTGATTAGATATTATCTACTTTGGGGAGACCTGTTACACAGGTGTGTGCACAGCTTACACAATTCCATATGTCAAATAAACTAGCTAATAAACCTGTATCTAAAAGAAACTTTCGGGGCCTCCCTGGTGGCGCAAGGGGTTAAAGCACTGCACTACGAAGCAATCCACAGCTTCTGCAGCACAAGTTTGATTCCCGGCCAGCCAGGGAGCAACCTACATGTCAAGGCAAACCTCTTCTGTCTCACCCACTGCTCCCCTCAGCAGTGTATTTCAGTCAGTCTACCTGTTCTGTTCCCCACTCTGTCTTTGGTGGATCCTCTCACCCACCGCATCTCTGGCCTATATCCCAGTTCTTGTATGCATAAATAAATAAATCTTAAAAAAAAAAAAAGAAAAGAAACTTTCATGGTGTTTTGAAAATAAATCTTGGGGCATTCTTGGTAGACAGGACTATCAAGCTATCGCCAGCCGTTGCAGCATGAGTTCGATCCCTAGCCAGCCAGGGAGCAACCCACATGGTGCAGCAGACCTCTCTTATCTCGCCCATTGCTCCCCTCAGCAGTATTTCTGCCTGTTCTGCTCCCACTCTTGTCTGGTGAATCCTCTCACCGAACCCCCACACCTCTGGCATACACCCCAGTTCTTGTATACATGAATAAATAAATCTTAAAAAATATATAAATTTTTTTTTTGGAGTAGCAACATTGGAATTCTTTTAAGTTTTTTTTTTTTTTTTTACATAGTTCTTTTTTTTAACAGTGTATGCTTTCTCATCTCAGTTACAGTCCCCGTGAAATTCCCACCACTAATTCACCCGTGAACCATCGCCATAGTCCCTTGTGCTCTTCCCACCCATCCTACTCCCTTCTCCCCCCACTGCAGAATGTCTCTGGTTTATAGTTGCTTGTTGATTTTGATTTTCACTTTATTATAGCTTTTTTCCCCCTCATCCCTTATTTGGATCCTCTACATTCCTCCGATAAGTGAAACCATCTGGTATTTTTCTTTTACTTTCTGGCTTATTTCACTGAGCATGATCCCTTCTAACTCCATCCATTTTGCTGCGAATGGCATGAGTTTATCTTTTGATTGCTGAGTAATATTCCACTGTGTATATCTATCACATCTTCTTGATCTAGTCATCTATTTGGGGGCATTTGGGTTGTTTCCATAGCTTATCTATTGTAAATAGTGCTACAGTTTAACAGGGGTGCAGGTATCCTTTTGAATTAATGAAAAAAATCTTAACATAAGTTGACTTGGTTTTATTACCTGTTTATATTTTCACAAATAGGCTCTGCACTTTTTTTTTTTTTTTTTTTTTTTTTTTTTTTGATAACTAAAACAGGAAAGGGGGAAATAATGGGAGGGAGAAGGAGGGAGAAAGAGAGGGGAAAGAGGGAGAAATCTTCAAAACAGTGAATTCAGCAATGCCTTGGAATACAAGATTCATATATACAAATCTATACTAGATTCATATATACAAAGCAAACAGAAAACAAAAATTTTTAAATAATAACATTTACAATAGCAGCTCCTCCAAAATAACCTTAAAATACTAAAAATGACTTTAACAAAAGAAGTACAAGACCTCTGCACTGAAAAGTACAAAATATTGCTGGGATGAGAATCCATTTAAAAGATACATTATCGTATTTGTGAATTTGATCAATATTTTTGAGATACCTCTTCTCAGATTCATCTTGCTCTTAGCACAGTCCTACTCCAAATCTTAACAAGTCTTTTTTTTTAATTGATAACTCGACTCTAAAATTTATGTGGCTAGAAAAGCAAAGGACTTAATTAAAAATGAAAATGATGTTGAAAAGGTAGAACAAAGTTGGAAGACTAATTTTAAGACTTACAATAAAGCTACAGTTTTCAAAACAAAGTATTCATAGGTAACACATGTAAACAGTATTCAAAACTGTAGTTTTGCTTAAGAGTTAAAGAGCAGTCAACAAAGAAGAGCCCAGGAAGACACATACACAAGTTGCTTT